TCTAATAACTAAAATTAAGAAGCTGAAAGCAGAATCATGCAAAAGATTTTAATCTTATCTTTAACAATATTTAGATTTTTTATTTTCTTAAAATTCCAGCACTACCAAATCTGCTTTTCAATAGATTATAATCAGTACCACTAAGATGCTTGGAGGTATTTTAAATTGTGGAAACTAAAGGAAAAAATCGTGAGAGTAGAGAATGGAGCAACAACATGTAAAGTGATAAGCTCAAATATACAAGACTCAAAATTTGGAGAAAAAAAAAGATTTTGGTATTTGGTAGTAACTATTAGGTGGTTTCTATGAAACTAAACGTTGGTTATTCCCCAGTTTCAACATATTGTGATAGCTGATGAGTAATAATTGATCCTAGGGGAGAGGCCTTCAAACCACAGATTTCTCCATTCCATTATACCTTTGAGTATATAAAACAGTGTAATATTTCAGGGCCAGTCACTTGCCATTTCTCCTAACAGCCTCAGAGAGAAAGAACTGACTGAAAAGTTTGAGGTAAGAAAGGTCTTAAATATTATTGTAAACTAAGATTGTATATCTATTTTATAAATATAGATATATATAGCATCTCTTCATATATTTTTCCGGAAACCATAAAAAGTTATTGAGATTATCCTTTAATGGTTGCTTGAAGTTGTAGACTTAGTAATTAGAAAAATCATTTTTAATATTATGCTTGCAAATTTTTTTTTTTTTTTTTTTTTTTTTTTTTGAGACGGAGTTTCGCTCTTGTTACCCAGGCTGGAGTGCAATGGCGCGATCTCGGCTCACCGCAACCTCCGCCTCCCGGGTTCAGGCAATTCTCCTGCCCCAGCCTCCTGAGTAGCTGGGATTACAGGCACAAGCCACCATGCCCAGCTAATTTTTGTATTTTTAGTAGAGACGGGGTTTCACTGTGTTGACCAGGATGGTCTCGATCTCTCGACCTCGTGATCCACCCGCCTCGGCCTCCCAAAGTGCTGGGATTACAGGCTGAGCCACCGCGCCCGGCCGCAAAATTTTTTTAAACATCATCCTGCTGTGGTAAATATTTATTTTAGAGGGACCATAAATGAATCCTTATAGGAGTAGAGCACTGGTGGGAGAGAGTGCGGACAGAATGAGAACAGAGCCTCAGGTTTATTTCGAACTTTATGCCATCAGGTCAGCAAAGAGAAGGAACATGTACCACCAGATTCTCCAGAGTCTGCGCAAGTGCCAATTTCTTTGGCCTCCACTTCTATCTTTAAAATATATGCAGTATTTACATTCCATTCTATAACACTTTATGTTGATTTTAATGTAAAAGTTATTTGCCTTTCCTGTAAATTCTTGAATAAAATTCTCCAGGAAGATGCATTTGATTTATCTAGAGTATTATACTACAGCACACAGCAATAAACTGCTGTGGGTATCATGACTTGATAAGTATAAAAATAAAAGGACATAGCCGGTAATTATGCCATGTCCTGACTCCCAGATAAGATCTAGAAGAGTCTGTGATGTGGTTTATTTACTTCTTTGCTTAATGTGGTTTTGAATACTTCTTGAAACCAGTTGAAAGAAATTATATTGTAAACTCCCTCCTTGAATTCTATCCTTTCCAAAACTATCTCCTCGACCTGTTTCTTTCTTCTTCTAAAGACTCTCAATATTTTGCAACTTCTACATATGGTATACATCATGCTTTGTTTTACATTACAGAAATAATCTATATCTGTCTTCCATATGGAAGTCTCATATGGAAGATATCATGGTTTTTCATTGCATTCTTGAAAACTCCCGGAACAATGCTTTGCACATAGAAACTAGATAATGTATATGTATGTGTGTGTCTGTGAGGAGTATGTGTGAGTGTATGCATGTGTGTGTGTTTGTATAATTTTTACTGTTAATTTCCTACACTAACAATCTACCTGTAGAAGGCTGAACTTGACTGGAATTTTATATTCCTGTCTTCTCAAAATTATTAGATTATCTGGTATTTAAAATAATCCTTTGCTATCATTTCAAAAATGTTCACAGCACCTTCACCAGGAGATTCCATCTCAGGAAACCACTTTCTTTGCTCATCCATAAGAAATAATTTTTCATTCATTTAAGTTTTACCATTAGATTGAAGCAATTTAGTCAAATGTTCACACTCCACCTCTAATTCTAGTTCTCCTGTTATTTCCACCTCATCTGCAAGTTACTTCCTCTACTGAAGCCTTGAATCCCTCAGTCATCCACAAGAGTTGGAATCAACTTCTCCCAAACTCCTATAATGTTGATATTTTGGTCTCCTATGAATCATAAATGGTCTTAATGGCATCTAGAGTGGTGAATCTTTTACAGAAGGTTTTTAATTTACTTTGCCCATATTCATCAAAGAAATCACTATCTGTGCCAGCTATTAGCCTTGCAGAATGTATTCATTCAATAATAAAACCTGAAAGTCAAAATTACTCTTTGATCCATGGGCTACAGAATGGCTGTTATGTTAGCAGGCACAAAAACCGCATTCATCTCTTTGTACACCTGCTTCAGAGTTCTTGGGAGGTCAGGGGCATTGTCAATGAACAGTAGTATTTTGCAAAAAAAAAAAAAAAAAAAAAAAAAAACTTTTTTCCTAAGAAGGGAGCTGAAAAGATTCAGTAAACCATGCTGTACTAGATGTACTGCCATCCAGGCTTTGTTGTTCCATCCACAGACCACAGGCAGAATAGATTTAGTATAATTCTTAAGGGCATTAGGATTTTTGAAATGATAAATGACCATTGGTTTCAATTTAAGAAACCAGCTATATCCCTTAAAAAGAGTCAGCCGGTCCTTTGAAATTTTGATGCCAGGCATTGATTTCTTCTCTTTAGCTATGAAAGTTCTAGATGGCATCTTTTTCCAAAATAAGACTGTTTCATCCATATTAAAAATCTATTATTTATTGTAGACAACTTCATCAGTGTTCTTAGATTTTCTGGATAATGCTGCACCCTCTATATCAACGTTTTTTGCTCATCTTGCACTTTTGTGTTATAGAGAAGGCTTCTTTGTTTAAAACATCATGAGCCAACCTCTGCTAATTTCCAACTTTTCTTCTGCAGTTTCTTCACATCTCTCAGTCTTTACAGAATTAAAGGGCATTAAGGCCTTGCTCTATATTAGGCTCCTGCTCAAGAGAATGTGCTGGCTGGTTTGATCTATCCAGACAACTAAAACTTTTTCCATATTGGAAACAAGACTCACTTTCTTGTCATTCCTATGTTCATTGTAGTAGCACTTTTAGTTTCCTTCAAAACTTTTCCTTTGCATTCACAACTTGCCTAACTAGTTGTTGCAAGATCCTAGCTTTCAGCTTATCTTGTCTTTTGATATTCCTTCTTCACTAAATCATTTTTACCTTTTAATGTAAAGTAGGAGACATATGACTCTTCCTTTCACTAGAACACTTGGAGGATACTGCAGGGTTACTGACTGGTCCAAGTTTAATATTCTTGTATCTCAGGAAATAAAAAATCCTGAGGAGAGAAAAAGAGAACTGGGGGAATGGCCAGTCACTGGAGAAATCAAAACATATACAACATTTATCAAATAAGTTTGCCATTTATTTTTGCCATAACACCCCAAAATAATTAGATCGAAGTAACACCAAAGATCACTGATTACAGATCACCATAGAAGATATAATAAAATCTTATTATATGTTTATATTATAGCTTTATAATAATATCTTACAGATATTAAGGTATCTTATAATACTAAAAACTGTAAAACATTGCTAGGATTACCAAAATATGTCACAGAGACACAAAGTGAGCACATGCTGTTGGCAAAATGGTGCTGATAGACTTGCTGGATGCCAGAATGCCACAAATTGTCTCTCAATTAGTAAAATACAGTATATCTATGAAGTACAATAAAAAGAGGTGTACCTGTGTATAGACAACACCTAGAATAACGTCTCACAGTCAGTCAGTTATCAAGAAAAATGTTATAAACTAATAAATAAATAAGTATGAGGGGAACTTCAAGAAATTGCCCACTTTCAACTTGATTGCCTTTCCCAGATCCTCCCACATATTCTTTAGTATATAATGCATTCACACCATGACAAAGAGGATTAATGCCGAATGATGCCATCCCATACAGAAAATTTCCCATTATTATTTGAAATCAAGTAATATAAACATGCTTATTGTATTAATAATACTTTTAAATGCAAAAGTTCTGTATTTTATTGTATACTCTTTTATAATTTTGAATAAATCTTTAGCTATTTTCTCAAATCTAATATTAACAATATTATAACATACATTTTAACACTGTGTGTGATACGATAAGAAGTCTACAGTGAAAATTAAAATACAATAAAATGCTTTGGAAAAGTCCTTTATTATTCATTAAATAATAAAACTTGCAAGTCAGAATTACTCTTCGATCCCTGGACTGTAGGATGGATGTTACGTTAGCAGGCATGAGAAAAGATCCTTCTTCCCATCATGGATTTTTTGGGGGGTTGCCTAGAACCAGTGCAAATAAATCTGTCACCTACATTACTTTCATGTAGACTCTCCAAGATCACTAAATAACTGCTTACTTCCAAACTAACATTGTCTGTATACACCAAGGCATTATTTCTTCCAGAAACTTTACTTTCATTATCAACTACATAGAAGTATTATTTAATTTTTTATTTTAAGTTCAGGAATACACATATAGTTTTGTTACACAGGAATTACTATTCTTAATATGCTAATGTTTATTTTTAAAGAATGGGTGTAATATAGTTGTGAAATTAGAGCTCCTTTGATTTGACCTAAAAAAAAAAAAAAGTTCTTTATTAACGAATAGATTGATGCACTAAGATTGTAAGTGACTTGCTCAAACTCAGAGTTATTTATTTAAAAAAAAATTGTACTATAACTGGATCTTTTGAATTTGTGGTCTTTTGCTGACTTCTAGGATATTTCCAAATAAAATGAAAGTTCTTATTTTTTATTTTATTTAATTGCTCCATTTTGCAGATGAAGAAAGTTCTTCTTTTGATCACAGCCATCTTGGCAGTGGCTGTTGGTTTCCCAGTAAGTATCCATTTGTACATTCCAAAATATTTATATACAGACATGTACTGCATATTTCTGTCAACCAGGAACCACATATACAAGGGTGGTCCCATAAGATTATAACAGAGCTACCAAGTGCAGTGGCTTATGCCTGTAATCCCTGTAATTTGGGAGGTCGAGGCAGGAGAATCACTTGAGCCCACAAGTTCAAGACCAGCCTGGGCAACATAGCAAGCCCACATCTCTTAAGAAAAAAAAAAAAAAAAAAAAAAGATTACAATGAAGCTGAAAAACTCCAACCACCTAATGACATTGTAGCCATCATAATGTCATAGGGCAATGCATTAAGTCATGTGTTTCATGTGCTTGTGGTGATAATGGTATAAACAAACCTACTCTCTGCCAGTCACATAAGAGTACAGCACAAAAAATCATGCACATTGCATAATATACTGATAATAAACAACTATGTTACTGGCTTGTGTATTTATTGTACTATGCTTTTATCATTATTATAGAGTTTATTCCTTCTACTATTTTTTTACAGTTAACTGGAAAACAGCCTTAGGCAGGTTGTTCAGGATGTATTCCATAAGAAAGCATTATTGTCATAGGAAATGATAGTTCCATGTGTGTTACTGCCCCTGAAGACCTTCCAGTGGGACAACATGTGAAGGTGGAAAGCAGTGATATTGACGATCCTGCCCCTGAGTAGGCCTAGGCTAACGTATACATTTGTGTCTCAGTTTTAAGCAAAGTAGTTTAAAAGTAAAAAAGAAAGAGTAAAAAGCATATAAAGAGTGAAAGTATTTTTATACAGCTGTGAAATTGGTTTGTTTTAAGCTAAGTGTTATTACAAAAGAGTTAAAGTAAAATAGTTAGAATAAGGCTAAGGTTAATTTATTATCAAAGGAAGAAAAATATGCTTTCATAAGTTTAGTGTAGCATAAGTGTACAGTGTTTACAAAGTCCACAGGAGTAAACATTAATGTCCTAGGCCTTCACATTCACTCACCACTCACTTACTGACTCACACAGAGCAACTTCCAGTTCTAAAAGGTTTATTTATGGTAAGTAACCTATACATGTGTACCATTTTCCATCTTTTATACTGTATTTTTTACTGTACCTTTTCTATGTTAGATTTTTTATATGCAAATACTTACCATTGTGTTACAACTGCTTATAGTATTCAGGATAGTATATGCCATACAGTTTTGCAGTCTAGGAGCAAGAGACTATACTGTATAGCCTACGTATGTAGTAGGCTATAACATCTAGGTTTGTGTAAGTGTACTCTGTGATGTTTGCATTATGGAATGGCTGAACTACCCATTTCTCAAACTTATCTCTGTTGTTAAGCAATGCATGACTGTATATTTTGTCTTGATTCGTGAATCTTAAGGGTTTTTTCTACTTCACATATTCTGTAAGAATACCTAACACCTGCTCTTTTATCATTATATTCCAGAAAATATTATAAGTCATAAACTGTTTAGTGCATAATTCAGTTCCACATATCCTTGGTGTAGTGGTGAGTTGGAGCCATTTAAGAATACATGTTAAGACTTTTCAGGAAAATTATTTCTACATTTTCTAGACTAAGTCTGGATATTTTAAAAATGGTCGTTATGAAAGAATATTAGGTAATACATTGTGAAATTATTTTCCTCACATGTATACATATATATACTTGTGTGTTTTCATAAACATGAGTTTAATTATTTTCACTGTTTTTCCTTTAGGTCTCTGAAGACCAGGACCGAGAAAAAAGAAGTGTACGTTACTTTTTCTCTTTTTTACATGCAAGCTTTACATGTGAAATATTCGTAACTGTTGTTAAAGATATTCATCTATCTATACCTCCCAAACAGTGGAGAGATTCCTAAAGAGCTCTTGGTATTAGCACTCAACTGAGGTTTAGACTTCAGGGATTTGAGCTGTGCTCGTAGAAAGGGAATTATCTCCACATCTCATGTCATGGTAAGAATTGGATTGAAATCTTAATTGCTCTGTGATTACTTGGGTTACAATATTTTTACTAGATTTATCTAGACTAAAAAAGCCTCATAACTGCTCAGACCTCCACTTTGCCTTAGCTCTATAAAACCCATTTCAAAGAAAGTAAAAAATGAAACCTGAGCATTAAGAGACGTAGGCCAGCTTTGATGATCCTCCCAGTGGCAAATTCGCTCATGGATTATTTGGGTCTAAACAATTATCTAAAATTATTTAACAAAAAAAAAAACAAATAAAATTTGAAGAGGGAAAGCCTTGTTTAAAGATTTGTTTTTATTTATGGAAATCTTATTATCTGGAAAGCATGATTTTATCACAAAAACTACAGAGAGTTAAGAATATCAAAAGTAATAGAAATAGGAACAGATAATTGAGAGGGAAAGCAGGAAGAAAGAACTGAGGTACTGAAAGAGAGAAGTTGTTTCCAACATGTGGTTTGAGTAAAGACCTTGTATAAAGGCAAAGGGAGACATTTTATGGCACCTCAACACCACATTCATCTTGGCCTTGTAGGTAAAAGAAGTGATTGCCAGAAAATATTTAGCTTTAAGTGGAAAGATAAAGGAACATGAGTATCTCTAAATAATTTTTAAATGATGCAAATTAATCAGCTCTCTGTCCATAGCACACACAGAAAGAATAAAGAATTTTATAGCTTCTAAAACCTCTTCCTAAAAATGAAGTCCCATGATTTAAAAAGCAAAACTGTTTTATTTCTCTTCTTTGTAAAAAGTAAACTAAACCCTTTAATTTCTTTCTTTCAACAGATCAGTGACAGTGACAGCGATGAGTTATCTTCAGGGTTTTTAGTGTTCCCTTACCCATATTTACCATTTCCATTTCGAAGATATCAAAGATATCCATGGCTTAGATATAATTTTCCTATTCCAATAAGTGAATCTCTTCTTACAACTCCCCTTCCTGATGAAAAATTAAACAAGAAGGAAAAGTCAGAATAAAATTGAAGATGAAATATGTGGTAAGTACACATAGTTACAATCATAGTTTAAGTTTGCAGTTTGGAATTCATAATTTCAAGGGCAAAAAAAATGCTAGCAATGTCCCCAGTTGGTCCCTTTCAGTTTCAATTTGTTTTAACGTTTTTTCTCTGGTAGATACTGTTGTGTGTGCCCACTCAGAGATACATACATGCCCTTCCATGATCTAACCAGCATAGTGCTTTAAATCCCTCCTTTGTTGTGATATAACAGAAACAATCCCTGTTATTAAACTATTGTTTACAAAGTATTTGTAACACTTTATGCTATTGTCAATAACTGCATTTCGGACTGACTCAGAGTAACCAAGGTTGAGATCATAGTAGATGAAGTTGGCCTAGAGTTTAAAATAGATTTCAGCTTAGTCCTTAGAGAACCATGTAATTTTTCTAATACAAAAACTCCTAATTTAGCTCTCAAATGTCACATTATAGTAAAATTTGAAAGGCTTCATGCTTCACTTACAACAGTGACCCCTATCATTTCATCACACCAAAAACAAAGTGGATGGTGTGTCAATTAGTAGATAAATTGAGGGGAGATAGTCTATACTGAAGATTAAATTGGATCCCAGAGGACTGTTCAAGGGAAAAAAATCCTTCAGCCAATACTTATCACTAAAGACCTTTGCTTTCTTTTTACATCTACTCAATGTTCTTGAGCAGATGGTTTCCAAGTCCTTGAAGTAAATATATTTTTAAGCCAATATTTGCCATTAAAGTGCAGAAAATGTACATGTTTTTGAGAAAATGACCCAATGCAATTCATAACCATATGTTTGTTATTTATTTCAGGTCACCTAAAATTAAATGTGAGCCACTTCCTTGAAGAATCAAAATTCCTATTAACAAAAGAAAAACAAATGTAATTGAAATAGCACACAGCATTCTCTAGTCAATATCTTTAGTGGTCTTGTTTAATAAACATGAAAGCAAAGATCTTGGTTTCTTTTTTTGTTTGTTTGTTTTTTTAGATCTTGGTTTCTTAATTTCCACAAATTCCATAATAAACACTCAATTTGCTTTCAATCTTCAGCAATCCCCTGGAGAAGGAAGAGGTAGCAGGTGGTTATAAAAATAAACTGTCCTACAGCATATGACAAAAGTCATCCAACAAGATTCTACTTGCACAATAAGCCTTTCAATGGGTCACAGTGACTGCCTTTGTCTCCACAAGTTGGTTATCAGGAAATCAGAAAAATTCTCTTTGAATAAAGATTATGTTTCTCCACCATAAGTTTAAATTGTTCATAGCTAAGACCCTTAGCACCAATAATGGAAATTCTGCCACCATTCATCCACAGCTGGCTACAAATCAAGGTCAGCCTAATGAGCTACTTGGCACTTGAGCAGGGAAATGGCTGTCTCCCTTGGTCACTTTTAGGGATTAAGGGTACCTCAAACATTTAAATATTTATTGGTATTAAAGTCAGTGATCCCAAGTAAAATATGGGAAAGACGGCAAGAAAACCAAATAGTCATCAATATAATTTGGTAAATTAATTTTATAGGCATTGTTTCCTAACCTTACAGCTGACAGATTGGAGGCTACTGCACGACCAGGGAGAGGCAGTCATGGGAAAATAAGAGAGAGGGGCAGAGAGAGCAAAGGCAATCAGAGCCCTGAAGAAGGGCCAAAGGCAAATGGCTGCTCTGGAATTTGGAAGAGACAGCAGTGCAAGTGATCTACTGTGTCACTAATTTAATATCTAATCTAATCTACCCCACTTTTTTGTTTCATTAAGAGTCTTTGACATCTCTCCTTAACTCTCAGACTAGATCTTTTATTTTATCTATTTCATTTGATGTCATTATAATTTTCTGAAGAAAAAAAAACTCTTGTCATTTACTTTTAAATACTAAATTCGTTTCTATTAAAATTAATCAGCTATCTCCTTCACCCAGTGGGTTTGGACATCATTCTTGAATACTATAGGCAATTATAAAACAATGGGAAGTTTTTGTGTATTTACACATAGAAAATACAGTAAAAATGTTGTATAAAAGATTTTAAAAATGATATAACTGTATAGGGCACTTACCATAAATGGAGCCTGGAGGCCTGGAAGTTGCTCTGAGTGGGTCAGTGAGTGGTGATTAAATGTGAAGGCCCAGGACATTACTGTACACTACTGTAAACCTTAAAAATTCCATACACTTAGGTTACACTAAATTTATGAAAATGTATTTTTCTTTCTTTAATAATAAAGATACAAAAAAGATACAAATTTATCTTTTTTATAGTCTTATTCTATAAGTTTTTCTCTACTGTTAAGTATATATACTTTTTTTACTTTTAAACTTTTTTGTTTAAAACCAAGACATAAACATATATATTAGCCTAGGCCTACAAGGGGCCAGGATCATCAAGACATTCCTAGCAACAGGAATTTTCAGCTCCATTATAATCTCATGAGAACGCTGTCCTAGACAGTCAGGCATTGACCAAGACATTGTTATACAGCACATGACTATACTTATTTTTTTTGTCAACTGTTGTGCTAAATACTGAAGATTTGGAAAAAAGAGTCTCTTTAATGATCTTACAAGTTAGATAGGGGAGATAAACATATATGAAATTTTAGGAAATGTAATAAATGCTCCAAAAATTTACAGAGCTTTTGTTTCAAAGCAGCGGAGAAACCAGCTGCCTACACAAATTAGGAAAGGTCCAACAGGTGACTTTGAGTTGAACATTAATGGATAAATAGATTATTGACAGGGAAACAGGAACAAATTAGATGCCCAATAGATATTTACTAGATAAGCTCTATACTCAAATTGGTATTTTGTTTGTTGCATTTTTTGTTTTTAATTTTATTTAAAATTGGTATTTTGAATGATGTTTATTTTCACTGGACAAAGATAAAAGAGCAAAAGATGAGAGTAAAATACTTCAGAATATATTTCTAATAAATATATAAAATTCTATTAATCTTATGAACAATCTCTAACTGAGAAGCAAAAGATTAAATAAACATCTTAATAATATTCTTGTTCACTAAATAACATTTCTATAAACTTTTCATGCAGATACAGAGTGAATATAACCTGATGAGTTATTTTCTTATGAAAACAGCTAATATATCTAGGAGATGGTATTTATTTAGAGTTCTACGTCAATTCAATAATGCTCAGACAGAGTTGAAACTCTGGCCAAAGCTGTGGGCATCAAACCAAGAGATCTGAAGGCAACTAACCACAATAGAGCAAGGTGAATGGCAAGGTTATTGGATCCTCCCCACAGTCACTTCAGAAAGCTTCTAGTTTCCCTTCGAGGATACAAGACTTTAGCATGGGAATCAAATAAGAGCAGAGGGACACACTGAATTCTAATTGCGGTCACTCTAAATGAGAGCCCAGCTAGCGAGCAGCCTCCCCAACATTCAGGGGAAGGTCAGTTCTAATACACTCACAGGAAAACAGAACCCCCAAAAATCTATCCCTCATCCATATGTTCTAGCTCTTCTATGAAGTAAGTAAGAATTCAAGGGGAAACAGATAATATGCCTGCACACTTTGGAAGTTCTTGACTAGGTTCTGGCCTCATCTAGAGGAAAGTAGTAATTCCAAAACTTTGATCTGCATAAAAATATTATTTAGTTGCTTGTCTGTTATTCACATTTCTAGGAACATTCCTGCTTTGACAATATTGACTCTGTATTGTTGGGTTAGGCAGGAATTTGCAACTTAAACAAGTAGCACAGATAGTCATTTGCTCAACAAATTTTTCTCTAATATGTGCTAGGCATAGGTTTAGAGACTGGGACCATTGTTTTCTAGCGGAAAAAGACAGAAAATAGCAAATAAGTACATATAAGTCTTTTAAAAATGTATGTTGTAATATATTATGAGGAAAATAAAAGGTTAAATAATAAAGTGATGAAGAAGTGACTAAACAAAGTGACAAGAAAAGCTTCTCTGAAATGAAGACATTTGAGGTGAATACCGAATAATACAGGGGACATTACTGAGAACTGAGGTAAGAACATTCCAGGCAGCACGAATATAAGTGGAAGTTCCTGATACAGGAAAGAGTATGGCACATTCTAGGAACAGAAAGGTCATTGAAACCGGCATACAGTGAGAGAAAAAGTGGTAGAAGTTAAGGTAAGATGAATAAAGAGAAACCAAATTATTTAGAAACAGTCCCCGGTAAAAAGTTTGAATGTATTCTAAGTGCATAGGAATCCATTAAGAATTTAAGCAGAAGAATAATCATGTCAGATATATGTTAAAAGGAATATTTTTATAACTGTGTAAAAAATGATTATAGGGTGAAAAGAGTGAAAGTAAAGAGATCGAAAAGGGAAATATTGGGATGATTCCAGGTATAACATGCCAGTGGCTGAGACTAAAGCAAAAAAGTTCAGATTAGGAAGTGATGTCAGATTTGGGGTATTTGGTAAGATAGAATTAATGATTCTTCTAACATGTTGTTGTGTGGAGGAGAGAAAAGATAACTTATAGGAGTCACTAGATGGCCCTTGAGCCACTAGTAGTAGCATGGTACTGTTTACTAAAGGATAAAAGAGACTAGTGGAGAACTAGTTGAGAAACAGGGTATGTTTGGATATCAAATATTCTGGTTTTTCATGATCATTGGGAGATCTCTATTTTACATGCAAATAGAGATATTAAAATAGCTGTTGGATACTTGAATCTAGAGTTCAGTGAAGGCAATTGCCTATTGATGATACTTAAGGTTATAGAAATTTAGTACGTCAACTAGAAAGATATTAAAGAAATGTTCTCCTAAATTTAGAGTTTGAGGAAAATAAGAAGAACCAAAATGGAAATTAAGAGCAGCTTTAAGTGACTCAAGGGAAGAAGAAAAAGTCAAAAAGTTTTATCAGTCAGAAAAACTAATCACCATGCTAAGAGTTGCTAAAATGTTGAGTGGGAAGAGTATCTAGCAGCTACCATTGGATTTGGCTGCACAGAGATCATCGTTGATCTGGC